AGGCGCCATATTCTTCCGGAACGATCTATAAACTGGCCGCCGTGACGGTGTGTACGGATAGGAAAATGCGATGAGCTGCCGACATCGGCCCTTCCAAAGGTCACACGCGAGTCCATGCCGGAACCTCTGAAACCGCTTTGTACTCGCTCGCTGGGTGCTGACCGGACGCACCCTAAAAAACTCTTTACCAGATCCTATTGAGGGGGGTGGGGTGGCCCTCTTGTGGGCCCTACGCTCATGTGCTGTCCTGGAGGATTCTGGGAAATAAAGTTACCACTCATTAATAGTCTTCATTCAGATGTAGATCACTAGTTCTGGTGAGCACCGGGATTTTCTCCTCACTATGGGGGGACTTCCTGTCACTTCCTGTTGTGCGATCGGACAGGAAGTGAAGGGAAATGGGACACAGATGGCAAAAAAAAGCTGATGGAAATAACTTCTCTTTCTCTATCCAAAAAGGTTCTGGCTTTAGTTCTACTAATATGCGTGACATTGCTCGGATGGGGGGAGGGGCTGAAGGGGTTACGCATTTCAGGTTGACGTAGGGGGAAAGGTCGTATTTATGAAATCACTTTATGGGGTTTGGGTCAGGGTTACCCTTAGGGTCATGGGCCGGGTCAGGGTTCGGGTCATGGGTCAGGGTTCGAGTCATGGGTTACCCTTAGGGTCAGGGTTCGAGTCAGGGTTACCCTTAGGGTTCGGGTCATGGGCCGGGTCAAGGTTCGGGTCAGGGGTTACCCTTATGGTCAGGGTTACCCTTAGGGTTCGGGTCATGGGCTGGGTCAGGGTCAGAGTTCGAGTCAGGGGTTACCCTTAGGGTCAGGGTTCGAGTCAGGGTCAGGGTTACCCTTAAGGTTCGGGTCATGGGCCGGGTCAAGGTTCGGGTCAGGGGTTACCCTTATGGTCAGGGTTACCCTTAGGGTTCGGGTCATGGGCTGGGTCAGGGTTCGAGTCAGGGTCAGGGTTACCCTTAAGGTTCGGGTCATGGGCCGGGTCAAGGTTCGGGTCAGGGGTTACCCTTATGGTCAGGGTTACCCTTAGGGTTCGGGTCATGGGCTGGGTCAGGGTTCGAGTCAGGGTCATGGGCCGGGTCAGGGGTTACCCTTAGTGGAGTTTCCTTGACTAGAATATTTCAGTTTGTCCTTGTAGCAATGTATTTGACTTACCAGCCCCCCGAATTCTGATGCCAATGCTTGTGTTTCCCCCCCACAGACTTACATTTATCAGGCCCGGCTTCCTCTAGCGCAGAAAATTCTCTGAGTGGCCCCTGCGGCCCGCCGGACCCTCCACTTCTTCTCCAGCCTAAGCAGTCTCCAACACCTCAGCTCCACATTGTGCAGTTACCTCAGCTAAGTCCTTCGCCAGGTCCATCTGAAGGGGCATCTCCACCCCCCATGCCCCCCGGCTCTGCTTCTCCGCTCAGTCAGCATTACGACCCCACAGTGGCCATGCTGAGGGCCCAGCAGGAAACCGCGGAGGCGATACGACATCTGACCTACACATTGCGGCAGAGCATGGACCGCTTGACCAATGTCCTGGCCGCCATTTTACCTCTTATACCTCCTCAGCCTCCGTCGCCGGCTCCTTCCGGCCCGATAGATCCAGTTTATTATCCAACAAAGACAGAACCAGAATCTGAACCTTGTTCTGTAAATTATGAGTTGGAAGAGAATCACAACAGCCAGGAAGATGAAAGTGTGCAGCAGAATGCCACAGAACTGCCGCCAAGCTCTCCGATCTCCCCTCCTCCCAACAAGAGGAAGAGATTCTCTTATTTGACTCCTCGTAAGCGCAGAGGCCGCTGGAAAAACGTGTGAAGGAATGTACTCCTTGCACAGGCACCAGAGAACGGAGGATATGAACCCATAATGGGGCTCCTATGATTTTATACAGCGACACGTCCAGGATCTCTCCCCTGGCTGCTGCTGAAAAATACTTTGGGCTTCTGCTGTACAATTCCATGATTTTTACTTTACTGGAATGATCTTTCTGCCTCAATTTTACCCAAATGTGGAATATGAAATTGGTTTTTATTCTCAATGAACCGCGGCTGCAGATCCAATTCCCATCAGTGCCGCTGGGTTAGGACCGCTGGTACCTCTGCTGTAGGCCGGCACATGTCTGGCAGTTCATCCTGTGGGCAGGTAGCAGACTTATGTCACCTCATGATTGCTACACAAAGGGGGCGTGTGCTAAAGCTGCAAGGTTCTGGGCTCTTTTCCTGTATGAGATGTTTGGGGGTGGACTCTTCCGGTATGAGATGTTTGGGGGTGACTCTTCCTGTATGAGATGTTTTGGGGGTGGGCTCTTCCTGTATGAGATGTTTGGGGGTGGACTCTTCCGGTATGAGATGTTTGGGGGTGGGCTCTTCCTGAATGAGATGTTTGGGGGTGGCCCCCTCTGGCCGTGTCTCCTGATCTGAATAGACAAGAAGCAATATCTCTGTACATAACGTCTGACTGTAGATAGCGAGAAATGTAAATAATGACGTATTAAAGATTCTGATTTGTTGTGCGTTGTATTCATTGAGACAGGAAATGTGCGTTGTATTCATTGAGACAGGAAATGTGCGTTGTATTCATTGAGACAGGAAATGTGCGTTGTATTCATTGAGACAGGAAATGAGCTCGGAGTATTCCACCATTAAAGAGAACCTGTCATGAGAGGTACCGACTTCTGCATCTCGGCTGACCCGAACCCGAAATGGAATTGCTTTCATCCAGAAGAGGCGACAGATCTGCTGAGGCCGGCATTCTCATCCTCCGGCTTCAGTACTCACTCCATGCAGATGAAATGTTCACACTTCCTGCGCGCTCCGCACGGCAGGCTTCTTATTTCTCTCGGTTCCGGTGTTTTTTTTTTTTAAAACAAATTCTTTATTTTCATAGATTAGTCCGGATCCAAAACCAGATAAACAATGAACGCGCCAAACACCAAAGATGCGCAATATCACCATTAGTATCGGGACGCCTTTACACGCACATGAACTTTAATGGCATCCGTAGGGTTCAGTATTGGGTTGGCTCCGCCCTCTAATGGCCCCCAGTCTTAGTCCGTAGGGTTCAGTATTGGGTTGGCTCCGCCCTCTAATGGCCCCCAGTCTTAGTCCGTAGGGTTCAGTATTGGGTTGGCTCCGCCCTCTAATGGCCCCCCAGTCTTAGTCCGTAGGGTTCAGTATTGGGTTGGCTCCGCCCTCTAATGGCCCCCCAGTCTTAGTCCGTAGGGTTCAGTATTGGGTTGGCTCCGCCCTCTAATGGCCCCCCAGTCTTAGTCCGTAGGGTTCAGTATTGGGTTGGCTCCGCCCTCTAATGGCCCCCCAGTCTTAGTCCGTAGGGTTCAGTATTGGGTTGGCTCCGCCCTCTAATGGCCCCCCAGTCTTAGTCCGTAGGGTTCAGTATTGGGTTGGCTCCGCCCTCTAATGGCCCCCCAGTCTTAGTCCGTAGGGTTCAGTATTGGGTTGGCTCCGCCCTCTAATGGCCCCCCAGTCTTAGTCCGTAGGGTTCAGTATTGGGTTGGCTCCGCCCTCTAATGGCCCCCCAGTCTTAGTCCGTAGGGTTCAGTATTGGGTTGGCTCCGCCCTCTAATGGCCCCCCAGTCTTAGTCCGTAGGGTTCAGTATTGGGTTGGCTCCGCCCTCTAATGGCCCCCCAGTCTTAGTCCGTAGGGTTCAGTATTGGGTTGGCTCCGCCCTCTAATGGCCCCCCAGTCTTAGTCCGTAGGGTTCAGTATTGGGTTGGCTCCGCCCTCTAATGGCCCCCCAGTCTTAGTCCGTAGGGTTCAGTATTGGGTTGGCTCCGCCCTCTAATGGCCCCCCAGTCTTAGTCCGTAGGGTTCAGTATTGGGTTGGCTCCGCCCTCTAATGGCCCCCCAGTCTTAGTCCGTAGGGTTCAGTATTGGGTTGGCTCCGCCCTCTAATGGCCCTCCAGTCTTAGTCCGTAGGGTTCAGTATTGGGTTGGCTCTGCCCTCTAATGGCATCCCAGTCTTAGTCCGTAGGGTTCAGTATTGGGTTGGCTCCGCCCTCTAATGGCCCCCAGTCTTAGTCCGTAGGGTTCAGTATTGGGTTGGCTCCGCCCTCTAATGGCCCCCAGTCTTAGTCCGTAGGATTCAGTATTGGGTTGGCTCCGCCCTTTGCCGCTATAACAGCTCCACCTCTTCTGTGAAGGCGTCCACAAGGTTTAGGGGCGTGTCTATGGGAATGTTGGACCATTTGTGAGGTCAGGTACTGATGGTGGGGGAGGGGCTCGCATTCTCCGCCTCTAATTCATCCCAAAGGTGTTCTATGGGGGTGAGGTCAGGACTCTGTGCGGCCAGTCACGTTCCTCCCCCCTCCCCCATCCATGTCTTTACGGACCTGGCTTTGTGTACTGGTGCACAGTCATGTTGGAACAGGGAGGGGCCGTCCCCAAACTCCTCCCACATAGTTGGGAGCATGAAATTGTCCAGAATGTCTTGGTGTGCTGATGTCTTAAGAGTTCCCTTCACTGGAACTAAGGGGCGGAGCCCAACCCCCCCAACTCTCTCGCACTGTACCATGGTTGTTACTGGACCGGTTCTGGAGAGGAAGGTCGGGTCCTTTCTATTAAGGGAACTGTTGGCTCTCCAATAATAACATTGGCCAATATTTATGCCGCTAACCGTCATCAGATCCCCCCAACTGATAGACGTGTGGCGCCTACAACACCCCTCAACCCGCGACGCACTTTCTTCTCGCCCTTGCATCAAAGTTATACCCGCATAGACCTCCTTCACCACAGTCCTCCTGCACCACAGTCCTCCTTCACCACAGTCCTCCTGCACCACAGTCCTCCTGCACCACAGTCCTCCTGCACCACAGCCCATTGGCCAGGATCCGCCACGCAGAGGTGGGCAATATCACCCTATCAGATCATGCCCCCGTCCTACTGACCTTAGCCCTGAACGACCCAGCGCCCGGTCCCCGGCAGTGGAAGCGGAACGACCCAGCGCCCGGTCCCCGGCAGTGGAGGCTGGACGACCCAGCGCCCGGTCCCCGGCAGTGGAGGCTGAACGACCCAGCGCCCGGTAGCAGAGGTGGGCAATATCACCCTATCAGATCATGCCCCCGTCCTACTGACCTTAGCCCTGAACGACCCAGCGCCCGGTAGCAGAGGTGGGCAATATCACCCTATCAGATCATGCCCCCGTCCTACTGACCTTAGCCCTGAACGACCCAGCGCCCGGTAGCAGAGGTGGGCAATATCACCCTATCAGATCATGCCCCCGTCCTACTGACCTTAGCCCTGAACGACCCAGCGCCCGGTAGCAGAGGTGGGCAATATCACCCTATCAGATCATGCCCCCGTCCTACTGACCTTAGCCCTGAACGACCCAGCGCCCGGTAGCAGAGGTGGGCAATATCACCCTATCAGATCATGCCCCCGTCCTACTGACCTTAGCCCTGAACGACCCAGCGCCCGGTAGCAGAGGTGGGCAATATCACCCTATCAGATCATGCCCCCGTCCTACTGACCTTAGCCCTGAACGACCCAGCGCCCGGTAGCAGAGGTGGGCAATATCACCCTATCAGATCATGCCCCCGTCCTACTGACCTTAGCCCTGAACGACCCAGCGCCCGGTAGCAGAGGTGGGCAATATCACCCTATCAGATCATGCCCCCGTCCTACTGACCTTAGCCCTGAACGACCCAGCGCCCGGTAGCAGAGGTGGGCAATATCACCCTATCAGATCATGCCCCCGTCCTACTGACCTTAGCCCTGAACGACCCAGCGCCCGGTAGCAGAGGTGGGCAATATCACCCTATCAGATCATGCCCCCGTCCTACTGACCTTAGCCCTGAACGACCCAGCGCCCGGTAGCAGAGGTGGGCAATATCACCCTATCAGATCATGCCCCCGTCCTACTGACCTTAGCCCTGAACGACCCAGCGCCCGGTAGCAGAGGTGGGCAATATCACCCTATCAGATCATGCCCCCGTCCTACTGACCTTAGCCCTGAACGACCCAGCGCCCGGTAGCAGAGGTGGGCAATATCACCCTATCAGATCATGCCCCCGTCCTACTGACCTTAGCCCTGAACGACCCAGCGCCCGGTAGCAGAGGTGGGCAATATCACCCTATCAGATCATGCCCCCGTCCTACTGACCTTAGCCCTGAACGACCCAGCGCCCGGTAGCAGAGGTGGGCAATATCACCCTATCAGATCATGCCCCCGTCCTACTGACCTTAGCCCTGAACGACCCAGCGCCCGGTAGCAGAGGTGGGCAATATCACCCTATCAGATCATGCCCCCGTCCTACTGACCTTAGCCCTGAACGACCCAGCGCCCGGTAGCAGAGGTGGGCAATATCACCCTATCAGATCATGCCCCCGTCCTACTGACCTTAGCCCTGAACGACCCAGCGCCCGGTAGCAGAGGTGGGCAATATCACCCTATCAGATCATGCCCCCGTCCTACTGACCTTAGCCCTGAACGACCCAGCGCCCGGTAGCAGAGGTGGGCAATATCACCCTATCAGATCATGCCCCCGTCCTACTGACCTTAGCCCTGAACGACCCAGCGCCCGGTAGCAGAGGTGGGCAATATCACCCTATCAGATCATGCCCCCGTCCTACTGACCTTAGCCCTGAACGACCCAGCGCCCGGTAGCAGAGGTGGGCAATATCACCCTATCAGATCATGCCCCCGTCCTACTGACCTTAGCCCTGAACGACCCAGCGCCCGGTAGCAGAGGTGGGCAATATCACCCTATCAGATCATGCCCCCGTCCTACTGACCTTAGCCCTGAACGACCCAGCGCCCGGTAGCAGAGGTGGGCAATATCACCCTATCAGATCATGCCCCCGTCCTACTGACCTTAGCCCTGAACGACCCAGCGCCCGGTAGCAGAGGTGGGCAATATCACCCT